ATATTATGATTTGGTTAATGTTATCTTCTAAGTAAAATTTCAGAGAACTTTAGAGAATCAAATGTTCAGAAATATCTACTATGGTACTCCCAAAAGTCATATGGCAAAAATTGGAACACTATTTATATATTAATTTAACAAAATATTTATTGAGCAATATTTATGTCAAGACCTTGTTGTAAATACTGGAAGTATAGAAATAAATAGCACAAAGTCTATGCTCTCATGGAGCTCAAACTCTATTAAGGAAACACAATAAACAACTTAACAGCAGTCTGAAGAAATTAAAGCAGGAAGTTGATAGAGCTTGATGGAAAGAAGTGTTGTTCTAAAAATGGTCAGAGAAGGGTTTGCTGAGATTTGAACACAAGCATGAATAACATGGGGAAGAGGAGACTTTGGAAAGAAATCAAAAGATACAAAGACCCTAAGTTAGGAACAAGCTCAGACTATTTGAGTGAGCAGCCCAATGGGAATGGGGTAGAGTAAGTCAGGAAGAGCAAGAGAGGTTTTAGATAAAGTTGAAAAGTGGGCAAGAAACTTACGTTCTAAAACCCTCTAGGGCCAGTGCTGTCCTACAAAAATTTCTCCAATAATGGGAATGTCCTATATTTGTGCTGTTAATACAGCAGCAACTAACCACATATGGTTACTGAGCCTTGAAATGTGGCTAGTACAACTGAAGAACTGAATTTTTAATTTTACCCTATTTTTAAAGATTGCATTGAATTAATTTAAAGAGCCACGTACAGCCGGTGAACACAATATACAAGAGTGTAGCTCTATTTTTTTTTTTAATATATCTTTATTGATTTCAGAGAGAGGAAAGGAGAGGGAGAGAGAGATAGAAACATCAATGATGAGTCATTGATCAAGCCCACAACCTGGGTATGTGCCCTGATGGGGAATCGAACCCCGATCACCTGGATCCCAGGTCGATGCTCAACCACTGAGCCACGCCTGGCCGGGAAAGAGTGTAGCTCTAGATCATCGTTTGAACTTAAGATGTTACTCTATGTGCATTAAGAAGTGTTTAAAAGATCTAGGATAATAAATATGCATGTTTTGTTTCTTTTGGTTAGTCCAGCCTCTGAAAGTTTTACAGTATATTATTTATTGTTATTAAATTCAAATTTTAATTTCATGATATTTCTTTTTTTTTCCCAGGGGAGAATTTTTTTTTAATCTTCACATGAGGATTTTTTTTCCTTTGATTTTTTAGAGAGAGTGGAAGCGATGGAGAAGGGGGATAGAGAGAGAGACACACACATCTATGTGAGAGAAACACAGTAATTGGTTGCCTCCTGTGCATGTTGTCACCAGGGCCAGGAAGGGAAACAAGATACATGCCCTTGACTGGGAATCAAACCCAAGACCCTTCAGTCCCCAGGCCAATGCTCTAACCACTGAACAAACCAGACAGGGAAGGAGAGAATATGTTTAATTTATTGTTGTTTTTAAAATAGACTTTATTGGTGTGATATTGAATTTATAGATGTGACATTGATTCGCAAAACCATGCAGCTTTTAAGAGTAAAACTATAAAACATAATTTACACAATTAATCGTGTGCCTATCACCTCAAGCGAAGTCTCTTTCTGTCCCTAACCCCTCTCCCTTTTTCCCACCCCCACAATAACCCCCATCTCCTTTCCCTCTATCACCACACTGTTGTCTGTATCTATGTGTTTTATATATATATATATACATATGTTTTGGGCTAATCCCTTCACCTTCTTCATCCAGTCTTCCAACCCCCTTTCCCTCTGACATCTGTCAGTTTGTTCTATGTATCCATACCTCTGTTTCTATTTTGCTTGTTATGCTATTTCTTTCATTTACTTTCTGCATTAAATAGACAGCAAATTTGTTCTAAACAAATGTGAAGAAGACTTAAAGGAAGAAGGATGCTAAGCATAACTTATGGTAAATATTTTTCTTTGGGGTAATCTGGTAGTTTCAGTAACAGTTACAAATAAGTCATTCATCCCTTTATATTTCCTGTGTGCTTACACCATAAATAACCCAGTCTCTTGCATTTCTATTTTCCCTCTGGTCTGTAAACATGCTAAGAATTCTCTTTTTTCATAGGAAATCCTTTCTTTCCTACATGTGAGAGTTCATTCTTTTGGAGGCTCTGTTTTTGCCTTTAATATCTCTGTCTCTTACTTCTGTCATTCACCAACATGATATGTGTTTTCCCTAACTTATTGGAGAAGTTGGTTCTTCTAGTATCCTAAATTGATTTAAAGATCTAAAATCCAGGCTAAAACTACTTCACAACTTCTGAGAATCTTCATAATTAATCATCTTGAAATTCAGTTGATATTTTTTAAAAGACAACAAATATAATACTTTATATCAGATGAAACAGAATTAACAGATTAGACAAAAGCACAATTACAAATCTGCAGAATAAGCACCCTCAAAGTGATAAATGAAGATAATAAAATACAAAAAAAAAGAACATGTTATTTTGATGAAAATCAAAATGGAGATAATAAACATAGAAAGTATGAGGTTCAAGGACAAAGGAAATCATTTATAAGATTCAAGTGACTTAAAAATAAAGGTCTATCAAAGACCAAGAATCAAGCTTTTCAACATCATAGGGTACAAGAATATAATGTGATAATTTTTGAAGTATTAAAGGTAGAGAACTTTGAATCTCAACATTTACAACCAAGA